TTGTTTTGGTATAATTTAAATGTTTAGTGACTTTATAACACTTGATTAGTAATACACAATTTATTTCAATATTATTAAAGTAGACTAGAATATTATTATGTACTCATTATGAAATAGTATTTTGTAATTTGTAATTTAAGTCGCCAAGCTAATTTTAATTATTTAGCAAACTAAACTACTTTTTTGTTAATTCCTTATTATTTGTTTGTCATTATTACGTGACTAGAATTAAGTAATAAAGTGCTTTAGGATATTATAAGTAATATATAAACACTACGCTTTCTATATATTTATATATTATACACGTTTGTATAAATAATATAATGATATTTATTATTTAATATTCATACTGTTTATATTGTATTACTAATTTCCGCAGCAACGAAAGTAGTAATAAGCGGCGGATCGGGGGGACAATATTATTTTTACGATATTTTCGTCGCATAAGTACGAAAAATCGGGCTTAATAAAGTGCGTGAACATTTTTGGTTGTAACTTTTAATCCATCCAACCAATCTGCTTGCGAGTTGTTCCCCTGTTGACATTTGCATAATATTTCTGATCGATTGATACCTATTGTATTATGTTCGATGTTCGACCGTTTTCCCTGTAGAGCGGGCCGATGGATTAGCACAATTTTTTAATGGTAGGTATAGAACTCTGGCTCCTGTTAATATGTGGCTACCTACTAGCTTTTTATTTTTATTTTTCCCTGGATTTACTTATAATATATATCATTATAAATAATTAAACATTACAACATTTTCTTTCTGTATCCTTTAATTTATAATAATAAAGGAGGCGTGAAATTAAAAAGTTAGAACACCTCTGGGGCTAGCAGATTCATCGTCGTATCCAGGTATATTTATACAACTAAATATTATAAATATAATAACAAATACATCACGTGGTTGCATTAAAGAGTTTGAGTTCGAACGTATACGACCGCCAAAACACATCGCATGATGAAAATAACGCGTGAAATAATGGTAGTGGCGAAGGGGCAAACGAAACGACGAAAAAAATATAATATATAATCGAAATAACCGAAAAATTTTCTCTGAAATATAATAATAAAAATAACATAACAGGCTGCTTGATATATAGAACACGGTAGCTGTATAGGTATATACATATATAATACGTATAATATATATATGGGAGCTGTTGGCGCGACGTGCAAAGGTCGTAGAGCAGTTTTGACGTAGGTTTCGCGGGTCCCTGTATATATTTTATATATTATATAAATGTGTATATGTGTGTGTAATAATAATAATACACACGCCACTTTCTGCGCACATGCACCGGGTCGCCCCCGGGGGAAACTCTCGAGCGCGCGGGGTCTCTCATAATCCATCATTATTATCAGCCGACTGCCACTCACTGCCACTGCCTGCTCGCCCCTGCAGCCCGCCACCTCCCCGATAACTCCGTGACCGGCGGACCCCCATTGTGTTTTATTTTTACTCTTTTTTTCTTCTCTCTCTTTTTTTTTTATGCTTCGTGTATGAGTGTTTTACCCTCCCCCGCCACCCCCGGACTATCGCACCCTCTCCGGCACTATCCGAGACACTCTCTCGCACTCACCCGACACTCTCCACAACACTCTCTCACTCTCGCTATCGACGCGTATATACAAGGATAAAGTCATCCACACGCCCGCTTCAGTGTGTTTGTGTGTGTGGTATAATATTTATATATATACGTGAGACACGCAGACAGGCTGCAGGGACACATAATGGTAGATTAAAATGTCCGGTCCCTATTGCTTTCGACCCCTCGCGATGATCAGCCGGCGAAAGAGTGGCGAGTGGCAGAAACGAAAAGAGGTCCGACGGATGAGAGTTTTTCTATTCTCGCAGCTCAATCTCTATTGTCCGTGGCGACGGTAGTGAGGTTCACTTTGCTCTTACGCCATTGGCAGGCGGTGGCGTATTATTATTTGTTATACATACACGTATATACAGATTATGTATGTGTGGGAGTGTGTGGGTATGTGGGTAGAAATTCGGCTCCGGGTCCCCAAAGCGAGTGCACTCCAAGAACAATTACAGACCATAAACGTTTATATTATATATTATTTATAACATACATCCTGTTCAAGTCCATCGCCGATTTTACGAAGTTTTTAGTTTTATCGAGTTGACCGATATGACGTGATACAATATACGGATTTTAAACTTTCAATGTCTGACAATGCAGTATGCACTTAGCTTAATAATAAAATACGACGTAATGGGGTGTGTATACTGGATGTTATTTTTTAAACGTAAGATATTAGTTTTCACAACCAGATAAGATGTTTGCAACAATGTATGTAGATATTAATCTTGATGTTTTTTTTTTATATATAAATTGTTACATATTTTTCTTTATAGCAAAAATACACTGCTATTAATTGTCATCGTCTGATTACCTATGCATTATTTTTTAAATGTCTTTACACAAATATTGAATAATTGTAAACCAATATAATTTATTATATAAAATACCCATTTAAAGTTGATGAGCCACTCCGCTTTTCGTCATACTTTAAAACATATTTTATAGACGATTTCCTAACTTTAGTTTTTGTTGCCTTTGATTACAAATAATGAAATGCCTACTAATTACAATTTACAAGGTAATATAATGTATTTAGAGAAACAAAAAATAATCATAAAAAGTAAAATAAAATCTGAGACTAAAGATTAAGTCTCCTTCAAAATATTAGGTTAAGTGAACTGTAATTTATTCTAAGGCTATATTTAAAAAAGTGTTTAGCTAATAAGTAATAACTTATACTAAAGTGGAATGTATTTTAGGGAATTCATAAAAAAAATTCGATGAGTTATATAGTATGGTTTGTTCGTTTTAACTTTATTTTATAATACACATTGTCCACTACAAATAGTACAACACAAATAATATATAGTATGTATAGGCATTTTATAAATCATAACACAACCGGAGTTACATATTATTCGTCAAATACGATACGACCGAAATCGTGTTGTATCCTATTGTATATAATATAATTTATTATTTTACAATATTTGAATTTCACACTATGAATTTATATAGTTAATATATTATTAAAATAATATGTATTTATGTTCGTTCACAATTTTTGATTAACTAATATTTATCGATTTTAACCGCAGTAAATCACAACCAGAGAAAGAAGAATGGTTGTCGAATTCGTGTGCAATGGTACAGCAATAAATATAATATAAACGCATTTTTACCTAAATGCTTTCCTCGTACGAATAGGTTAGACATATTTTGACGATTACACTGTAATATTATAATATATCATAAAAATTAAAAACTGTACCGGAGGATATTGCAAATAGGATTAAAATTTAAAATTGTTCAGATAGGTACGTGCAATGTCAATATGTAGAGAAATATGCGTAATTATTAAGTAATTGTATACTGTACTGTACAGTCTTTATACATAATTATAAACACGTAATAAGTAATATTATAATTATGTAATATAAATATAATAATAATAATAATAATAATAATAATAATACAAACATTATATAGGAACTAAACGAAAACGCGACGGCCGCCAATCGCCATACAATAACAGATTAATTGTTAAAAAGAGCTTCTTGATCGCCGATTGTGAAAACAGCAATATTATTACATTTATTATATTTATACATGATTTATTATACTTTTACTGTAATATTATACAACAATAGTTATTATTAAAATTACATTTTTATAATTTTTTCAAGGTATACCTTTATTGCGTTTTTGAAAACGAAGTATTTATCACTTTCTATGAGTAGACAATTTGCTTATTTTATTTACTTATAATTAGTTTCACTAATGCCACATAACACTATGTACAAATGTAATTGGTTTGATATTATAATATATTATACGGTGAACGAATTTACTAGAACTTTCATATATTTTCATAAAATGCCATGAATTATAGCACAGATAATATAGTTCATATTAGGTAAGTGTTGTAATACAATAGAAAAATTAAATTTAAAATGTTATTTTTAATATTTTAGACCTAAGTTATATTTTCCTATTTTTGTGATTGTTTGGCATATTAAAAAAAAATATTTTCAACAATAATAATCATGATTATTTTTGAATTCAAGTTATTTTTTTTTTAAATTTAATCAGCTTTTACTCACCTAACTTAACATAGTCAATTTTTTAATAATATCAGTCTCCCACTTAAATCGTTTAATTTGTCTTCGATAGGCACGAGTCAGAATACAAATATTATATTATATTATATTATGCTCTAATTTTATTGCATATTTCGAGGAATGTATTATTCATTTTCTACCGAGATCAGATACCATCCCCTATTACCTTATAACAATGTTATTATTATTAAACTCGATTAAAATCAATTTTGAAAGTTCTATAAGATGAACGGAATTGGTTAAAAAATCAGATAGGTAGATAAAATACGCGTAGAGTTGTTGCAGTAGTACCAACAGGTAGCTATTATTACTGCAGACTACAGCATAGTAAAATTAATTAGAAGTGTGCTCGATTTGGAAGACGGCAAATAAATAATTTAGGCAATAAATAAAAAGTCAAGTAACGTCTCTCGTCACCCTGGCCATCCTCGGGAAACCGAATGCACAAAAAGTCAATAGATGAACTTGCCGGAACTGGGATGAAAATGCGTTCCGTGTCGCCCATACTTCTTATTAATTTTACTATAGACTACAGACTACAGTACCTTATGCCACAGAATCTACGTCATCGGGGGGTGTGGCAGCTTGGCTGGTGTATGTCTATATGGGTCTGTATATACGTTTCACAATCGGATCACAACAGCACACTCGTGCACAATTTTATCTATCGTGTATAATAACCCTTTGAGAGGTAAATCATAAGGATACATAACAGGCCATATACATAACCTTTAAAAATGTGTGTAAACGTCATCGATCGTCAAAGGGTTAATGTAATGTGTCGCGAGGCCACACGTTATAATTCACGGCCTCTCGGACTTCTGCGTCCGGACATTACACGTTCGAGGACGCCGTCGGGGAGTTGCTGGTGCTACTCGCGCCGCTCAGGTGCATGGTCTCCTGTTGTTGTTGTTGTTGTTGTTGTAGGTGGTGCTGTTGCTGGGCCACCGGAAGCAGGCCCTCCCGCTGCCGTTTCTTCTGTTTCATCCGCCGGTTCTGGAACCATATCTTCACCTGGGTCTCGTTGAGCTGCAGCGCAGACGCGATCTCGATCCGCCGGGCCCTGGTAAGGTACCGGTTGAAATGAAACTCCTTCTCCAGTTCGGTTAGCTGCTTGTTGGTGAAGTTGGTGCGGCCAGTGTTGTTCATCAGCATCATCGCCGCGCTGTTACCGCCACAGCCGCCACCGCCGATCGCCTGCGAACGGGTCACGGAAACCGATGACTGGTTCAACATGTTCTGCAGTTGCTGTTGTTGCTGCTGTTGCTGACCGATAACCGCCGCCGCGGGCCGCGTCAGCCGCCGACATCTGTAGGCCCGGGTGGTGTCCGGCCGCCGACATCATTGACTGGGTGCCGCCGAACGCCACCGTCGCCGGATTGGGCGCCTGCATTTGGTGTTGATGGTGATGATGATGGTATTCAGTTTTCATCACTGCAACAGTAGGTAACACGATAAGTAAATTCAAAATTGTAAGGATAGTATTTTATTTCACTTAAAGAGTTCTATTCTGTTAATACCGTGTTTTGGTTTTTCTGTTTTAAACCATGTTTTCAATGTAGTAAAATATTACAACGTCATGTAATTACATGTAATGTTTAATGTTTATCTAACTGTTGTTGTCGTTTGCCCTTCGGGTAGAATGTTGGTACTATTTAAGATTTAACAATAATAATTAATAATGGTGATAGATATCGATGAAGTTAATAGCGCACAAATACGTGATACCTACATCATAATATCATATTATAGACCATAGATGTATAATGTATATATAGGTTCTTAATTACATAAATAATAACAACAGTGGTTGTCCAAAGACCAAAACTAATAAGCAATAGTATTATTAAATTGAGAAGTAAGATTTTTATTTGGAATCATAATGACGTATATTGCAATATATTATACTGGCACGTTTCATAAGAAAAACATCATTTTGCTCTGTCTAAACTCGTATAAAAAACACAAGTTGTTTTATAACCCACTCTGTTTATTATAAATTATAATAAAATATTACATTAACATATTATAATCCAGAGTCGAGAATCGCGAAGCTGTTATTGGTGGTAGCACCAAAAAAAAACGTACATGTCTTTTAAATATAGTGAAAACAAGCTATCAATTTTTCAAGTACAGAATATATTATTGAATGCTAAACTATAACCCTACTCTCATTCTCATAGAAAAAACAACGTAATTATTGGATATTGGTTTTTTCGTCTATATATTTCTTAGTGTCTTCACTGGAAGGCTTCTTAAATCCGTCCTTTCCTCAAGCCACTTATTCATTCAATTATCTATTTTACTTATTGTTCATATTTTTATTGTAACAGATTGTAAATAAAAATTATAAAAAAAAAAAAAAAATAAAATATATTTCTAACTATACTAACAGTGACAATTATTTTAGAATTGGAAATTACTTATAAATATAAAGTAACATAATTATTTTCCTTTGTTTTCCAAAAATAATATTAATAATAATTTTTCACAAATAATATACCTACTAATTCTACAATAATTGTTTAGCCCTAATTACTAACTATGCACTATACATTTAATCTTGGAATTCATGAATCGTTAATTAATCGGAATAATATACATTTAAGTGACGCTTCAGCGCGGTATATAGCTATTAAAATTAAATACTATATAGAAATCAAAACGTAATATTTGTCTAATCATTTGTAAGACACTATATAATACTAAAACTAGATTGTAGGTTGATTTGTGGACTGTGTCCGAAATTAAACTGAAAGGATATGGTGGTATAAGTGTATAACTCTCTGTTAGGAGGTTATATGCAATATTTCTATATTTTATTCCATTATAAACGATTCGCGTAATTTATCATAACTCTTGAAGATACCTAATATTTGCAATGATTTCATAATCACCCAAATGGTTCTAAATGAATATAAATAAACGCCTTGATTATTATGCACCATGTTTTAATATTGATCTCCAGTGAAAATCTCCAGTTGTCCGTTGTCTTTGATAGTTTGATGAATATTATGTATTTAATTCAACTTGCATGCTGCAGTGGCCAAATATATACGAGAATTACCCCGTTGTTTTTTTGTGATCCTTATATAGTTGGGAGCCCAAAAAAATATATACCCTATCCCTAGGGCAATCCATAAGGTCCACTACGACATTTTTATGCACATTATATCAAATCAACAATAATGTGTTTTACCTGTGCACAGACCACATATGTATATACAGAGAAGCGCAACCTAAAGTGTGGAAAACCGTTTGGGAAAGTTTTAAAAGCAATGCCAAATGCCCAAATATACTATGTATATAAATAGTGTACTATAAATAGTATGTATATTATATAGTTGTTTATATACTTTGTCCGAAACTCTCTGAATTCATTTTTTCGTTTAAACTTTATATCTGCGCTCTTCCCTTAAACTAAATGACCGATGGAGAAACTCTGATAAATCACTTATTTGCGAGGCGTAGACACTAATTCGTACCATCCAGTTAAAAAAGACGGATTTGTCTTGATTCGTTTAAACATACTTTCCAAGTAGGATAGGGAGAGAAAATACCCGTACAGTTTTCACGTCTGTTTAATCATTTCGCTTTTACCCAGAAAACTCAGTAGATATATTATAGCATTTCGACCATTTTGTAAGAATGCCCGTTCCTACGTGTGTGACCTGTGTGGCTGTGCGAGAATTCTGTATATATATATATACTTTTTCAGTTTTTGTTATTTATTTCATATGCCTACGCCGTTTAGAAGACTGTAGTATTATAATATATTATTTATTATTTTCTATCGTCGAGATACCTACAACCTACATAATATACGCATGACGCATATTACAACTATTATAATATATTATGACGTAATAAGTACCTACGTAAATTTGTAATACTATACAGAGTCACAGAAACATTTGTAAAACTATAAATTTAGTGAAATCTTACATACATACATTTTGTATGGCCAGTGGTCACGTGTGACACCAAAAAGATTTCGTGTTTCAATTGTTACTTCAGAAATATGTCAAGTCCGACAATTTATCATACGATACAATTGGTTATATACCTATAGTAAAAATATATTTACCACAACATTGTAAACGGAATAATTATACACCATTATTTTTATGTAAATTACTGTTTTTTGTTTTTTTTTTTTTTGTATAGTTTGTATAGTTTTGTATTTTATACCTTTTAACTTAATAACATTCGTTAAATGGTTATTTTATATAATTTAATATTAAATATATATACGAGTACAGATATAAGCGTTTAAAGTTTTTTTGACGGTCTCAGTTGCAGTATATAGGTGCGTCGTGCGTTTGATATATCAACAGTGTTGGGTAAGTTACTTTAGTCGTTTCTAAGAGACAAATGTAATTAAGTTAATTTATTCTCTACTCAAATTAAATTTTAATGCAATTACTTTACTTTTCGAATAGAAAAGTAACTCATTACATTCTCGTTACAAAAAAAAAAAATAATAATAATTTCTTGTGGCTCTGCAGGCAAATTTAACAAGCAATTTTTTTATAAAAGTATAGTTATAGGATTTTTTTTTTTTAATGAGATTTTAACATATAATTATAATATCTCGACAATTATGTACATGTATCTGAAATAATAAAAATTGGTAAAGCTCACACACTTAAATTCGGAGGCCTGATTGCAGAATAAACTTTATCGTATGATTGATTATATTAACATTGTCGGTTGAGAGCGCGTCGATAAGGAAACAATTAATACCAGAGGTGGAAAAGAGAATCTTTAGGTGAGATCATTGGGTAGATAGAGATGGAAAATTTATGAGAAGGTGATGTAAGTCACAATATTCACTATTCTCCACCACAGTTGGGAAAGGGACAATACGTACTACTGTTGAGTCCCAATTTAAACGAGTGGTGTGGTAGAAGGCTGTAGTTAATAGTTAATAGAGGCTATCTAGTAGTTAATAGGATCGTATATAAAATTAGTCTTCCATTCCACACAAGCTATTCATAGGAAACCTATTTAAAGGAATCAAATTAAATAATAAATTTAATAAATAACGTACATTATAATTGAATGTTAAAATCTCATTCATAATAAAAAAAAATTAACTGTTTTCGTGATTTGTACGGTGCAATTATACATTTCCAATGTCAAAACCATTGAAAACTGAATTGTGGGGAGTTAAAATTAAATATATATACATATTAGATTGGTAAACATAATAATACCCGCATTATACATAGGTATATTTGTTTTCAATTCGGTAGGTCGGTAGGTAGGTAACAATAGGTAGGTGGTGCTTAATAATTCGAAACTGTAACGCGTTATTCTATAGAAATTACTTTTCAAAAGTAATTTACATGAAATTACGTAACGCGTTACAAGCAAAGTAACGCCGTTACAGTAACGCTTTACTTTCGTTACGTTACTACCCAACACTGTATATCAATAATATATTAGAGTATCGATGTCACTATGACGTCAGGAAGACGATACCACGTTGGATCTCGTATCTAACATAAAAACCAATAGGTATCCATAGGCGTAAAATGGGGGGGGGGCGAGAGGGGGCAACTGCCCCCTCTCACAAAATTGAACGGGGCAATGCCCCCTTGGTATTTTGTAAATTAATTTGAAAAATATTATCAAAAATGCATTTTAGATTTGTAAGAATTACTTTTTCGAAAAACTAAAAAGTATATTTTAAAAAGATTATCTATAGAAAAAAAATTAATTGATTAATCGAAATGTATTTATTCATTGTCATTTGCCATAATATGCGATATGCCATCTTAATTCATCACGATAACAGAATTTAATCTATTATCATAATGTTATTATCGAGTAAAAACAAAACTAAACTGCAAACTGCAGCTGCTGTGTTCCGTAAACCGTAAAATCGTTCGGTGATAATATGCTCGAATGCTCGATTAATGATATATCACAGAATAATATAAAGAATACAGAATAATATAAAGATATATCACAGAATTATTCTGTGATATATCTTCAATCGTGGTGATAATGTGATATGATATAGTTTTGATAAAATTTGGACAGAAACAGAACAGCTAGCTTCCAAAGAATCTATTTCACCAACCACAATTCCAAGAATAAGAACAATACCTTCAAGATTAGGTGGTGGTGAAACTTTAATTTCGAGAAACGTTGCATCATATTTCAAGACTAATATATATTTTCCTGTGTTAGATATAGTTATACATGATATAGAAACAAAATTTGCAGAAAACAATTTTAAAATACTTATTGCTCTTCAAAATTGTTTAAGTACTAGAAACCACAGGGATGAAGATATTTTAGAAGTTTGTAACACCTACAATATTAACTTTGATGACTTAAAGGCAGAATTAAAACTGTTTGGGAAAATGTGTTCATCAACTAATATTGATGAACATTTTGAAGCCCATTTAACTTTGTATT